GGTGAAGATAAAGATGGAGATGGACAAGCGAAAAAGTGAGGCTGTAGGAAGAAAAGTATCCGGCACCATCATCTCCCGCGGGATGGGAGCATTGGAAGGAGGTGATTGTGTTGGGGTAGATCTCAGGATGTGGAAGGTGTAGCCAATGACTGATGCTGAGACCTTCCAGATTTGACATTAAGCTCATCAATATCCCGCATGCTACGCAGCGAGCGTGCCACTATTGCCATTCCCTAGTCCCAGCTACTGTCCGTCTCACAAGCCCATGCTGAAGTTTTACCCGCAAATGGTTAGGGGAATGATTCAATGACCAGAGTCCACGTTTACTGTTATGCAAGAGTATCAAACAGAATGAGCGATATTACCAGTAAAAGGAGTCTAGGTTGAGTCTATTTGCTTGGACCGTTTCATGGTCTTTGAATTCCCTCATCAGATGAATCGACCAATCACTATGACCAATTGATTGACTCTGTTTCCTAGACAATTTTCAGGGTGCAAGCCCACCATCCTCCTAGTTCGAGCGCCTCCCGGGCGACCCCGGATCCGCCCAAAGCCGGGCAAAGATGGGGAAGATGCACGAATATGCAGTCAAGAAATGCCTCGTTGACTTGGCGTCAGCCGTGAAAGGGGATTGGGTAGAGCTCGATCGAGTGCGACATGGTGAGACGAGAGACTTGTTCGTTTTTCGACATCGCTTTACGCGGACACATCACTCATGAGCCCCGGGTTTTTCTGGAAGAAAATAGGCGCACTCGCTCGTGCGTGTAAGTCGGTAGCTCCACGCTGATAGAGCTGCATAATGCAAATCTCCCACTATAGTTAATTTGGACCCGGCCTTGTCGGCGCTTTAGTGGACTCCAAAGATTGCAAACTGTTTAGTGCTGTTGTTTATCTCCCCGTTTGTAATACCAATGGCCTCTCGCCTGTGATATATTGAAGTTGGACTAAGATGTAGAATAATTACTGTATCAAGTAAATAACACAAGGGGTCGTTGGTGGCGGATATTGTGTAAGGGTGTCTCCGTCGCGGAAACAACAAGGTACCTAGGTATTGGACGGGTGGCCGTGGACACGACGTAACAATAAGTTACACGAGGCTTGTTGAAGTTACGTAGGCGGGCTTAAGCATACCGTTTGGTGTGTAAGACCAACCGCCCGGTAACGTAATGGGAGCGATAGGCGCGGCACACAAAACTTGGACCCTGGATGAGGCAACTTGTAACAGCAAAAGACGCGGAATGGAACCTCGACGTGGAATCTCCAAGAGTCAGGAACAACAGCGGAGCGCGGAAACCGGTGCGGTGAACGACTCGCTGAGGATCGGGGTCAGACCCGCTACATCGAGCGAGCGACTCAGGCACTCTCGTTCTCAGCTTCAGAAGTTCGTGACCAAAAAGGACTTACCGTGCCCCGTCTTCGGCATTCGACGACCCATTTAGGGTTGACCGAGAAGAAAATATCTTGTACACCGCGAATTGCCCGTGGGGTCTCCATCTATTGCCCACTGACACACCGAGGCATCGGCGCCGAAGTCCAGCCACCGGAGGTCGCGGGTAAAAAAGCGCCGACCAAATCCTGTTCGGTTTTGCCTACCTTATCGACAGCCAACTGCTCTAGCCAAAAACCCGCGGAAGAAAGCGACCACGTCCCCCAGTTTAAACATGGAGGTACCCCCACATGAAATCCGATGCGAAGTGGATGTGGATATGACAAGGTAGAAAAACAAAAACCGCGAAAGGGCGAGGCCGACTGGACCGGAACTGTGAGCTGGGTTAGGTAGGCAAATCGGAGAAACAGTCGCCGCCATTGGTCATAGGCTGTCTCACCTTCTTTTGAACTCAGTCATTCCAATGACGTAGAGACTCAGTGGACTGCTGCTTTTGGCGATGGATGGGATTCTGGGGCACTGACCTTTACAGGCTTGAGCCATGAGCAAGGGTATGGGGTGCCCTGGAGCTGACGGGGTTCGTTTGTGCAAGCTCAATAGAGACAAGGAGAACACGGGCCTGGAATCGACTTGGCTGCTTGGCGAGAGGCGACAAGAGTTCTTCGTGATGACTGACAGCGGTGGCCAAGTCCAGAAGGAGGAAGGGCACTGGATAAATGGTTGGAGGTCACTGTGGAAAGGCCGGCTTCTAGAAAAATTCCAATATGCGCGGCTTTTGGCCAGTGCAGCTGGGTCCATAAGTTATGCACACCTGCATGAGCGGCTTCAACAGCTGTGATGATCCCAAATAATACCTCACATGAGGGAAGTTGACAGAAACAACAGGGGCCAGTCCCGCTCTAACCGAGCTCGCTAGCATCGTGGTATTTGTGTCAAGCATCTCTGATGCTCGCTCTTTTTGTACGCTAAAACTGAGCGAGGCTCGGTCCCGTCGTCGTTGGGACAGGGCTTGCTCTGGTGGTGAATATGGCTAGCCTGCCGTTTTGGATGGAGATCCATTCAATAGCTGATGAAGGAAGTTCAGCGGTTCAATCAAGTCTTCTCCAATAACCCTCGCCCGCGTTAACCCGCCGCAGGTTGGATCCAAGACGCTAATAGCGGCGCCTCATCTCATGCGTGGAAGATGGACGTGTAAAGTGAATCTCCTCGGTGTCCTTCTTTAGACGAACACGGAGAAGACCAGAGGCAGGCCTAGGGCAGCCAAGCCGATCCAGCCCAGGCGAGGCCCTGCAGAGGCTCGCCCATGTCGTTTCGTGAACGAGGCCGTATCTCGCACCGTACCCATCACCGTCGAGCTGCCAAGGCTGGCACAGGCTCAACAGCTGCCGATAAGGCGATTGGACATGGCAGCCACACAACGGTGACAATTGGCGCCTGGTGAGCGAGCAGTGGATGGGGCGCTCATGTGTACCCTTATTCTTGAACCTGGACCTGTTCCATCATAACAGGCCATCGTTTCTCAAAGTCATGACTACTTAGTAAAAGGTGAGGCGCACCGTAGCAAAGCTTGTCACGATACGTCTGATTACTTGTCATAAAATGACGACTATCATGACCACCCATCGAAACACGGCGATCCCGTTTCGGTCCTGCCTGAGACCCCTACGTTCAATTAACCTCATGCATTCTCGTGTCCGGGTCAAACAAGACTTGGAACAACGACTGATAGGCTGGCCGAATAAGAATTTTGCAGAGGGAATCTAGACTAAGAAGATGCAGAGTAACCGACCAGCATAGTCGTCATCGGACGGGATCTGTGAAGCTATCCCATCTCAGATTGTCAGACCAGTTCCCAGTCAGGTCAGTCCCGAGGTAGATCGCGTGGGGCCAGTCTCAAATATGCTGCAATTAGAGTAGCGGATCGATCAATGTATGCACTTTAGTGTGCGTTTGCTGCGTAAACTGGATGGCTTTTAATGTCAACTCTTGAACACGACTTGTTTTTTACGTCTACCAGCTTCAAGGTGGAAATTAGGAAATTGAACGACACGCTTTGCGCGCAAATAACACCATCCCCATAGGAAGGCGCATTATTTGCACAAGATGGGATAAGGTATGAAGATCTATGCAATGCTATTATACATGCGCGATGTGTCAATGGCTGCGTTACGATTGTGAAATCATCACTGAGTCATTGCAATTGCACAACATTGCACATCAGGACCATGGCTCCCGTTGCGTTCCAGGGGCCATGAGGGTGACATTTCTCGTTGATACATACTGTACTCCGTAATAAGGGTCTCGATTAGCAGCTCAAGGCGAAGCAAGGCTGATGGATTGACATAAACGGCAACCCGTTCTCTCCGTTCCTCATGAAGCGGAGCCTATCATGACTTCTCCTGTCTTCTCCAGTGTCTCGAGTCGCGATTTCGCTGACCGCCGGGGATGGGCAAGTCAGTGTCGTCATTATTCTTGACAGGCAGCGATACGCAGCGGGAAAAATGAAAAAAAGAGCACATGGGCATGGGGGAGGGGGGTCCTCCCATGGAGGAAAATCCCTCAGCGGAAACGGGGAGCTTGACGCCAGGTACAAGCTCGGCCAGCAATGACATACAGGAGAGGTACCGGGGCCCCAGTATGGAGAGCGCGCTACAGAACACCAGAGGGCTTTGTATTCAGTAGGTCCAGACGCTGGCAGGCAGACATTTACAGTTGTACATGGCTTGATGCTATCTTGAGGCAAAATCTAGCATTAGTGAGGCAATACGTCGATACAATCGAGGACCGGGCTTTAAGCCATCCCACATGTACAACGGAGCTCTCGAAGGATGGAAGCCAACGGGATCCGGAAGATGCACAGTGTCTTACTGTATCTCGAGCCAAAAGTCCATGGGAGTTGTATGGCCGTGGAGATGCTTTGGTGATAGTTCGGAGAGTATTACAGTAGGTACGTAGGCAGATACAAACAGGGCGATAAGCAAGCTTGGATACGAAAGTAAGATTACTTGCTCAGCTGTGGGTTTTGTGAGTGTCTTGTTTTTCGTAAAGCTAAATCGGTAAAACTATACTTGCGCGCTATCACAGCGTGTACAATCCCGCGGACATTCCCCCAACCCATGTAAAATAAACCCAACCCAGACAGGCAGGCGGGCAGGCTATTGTTTTGATTTGTTTGTATTGAACCTCTTCACAACTCATCGCTTTGTCAAGATCGAGGCGAATCACTCTCATTGTGACATGGATGGTGAATGACTGATTGTTAGTGCCATCATATTGGGGTCGTCATTGTCGTTGTCATTGTCACGCTCATTCAGTCAGTCATCCATTGTAAGCCATCAATCAGCTATCAGCCACGGGCAGTTAGACATATGAGACGTCCAATAGCTATCGCTTATCAGATACGTGCTCTCAATTGAGTTTTGTTTTGTCTCTTGTTTACGCTGAGCACTCTCCCTCCCCCTTGTGCTTTATCGGCAGGGCAATCTGATAGCATGAGTCTCAATCTGAGTCTAGTCTTGCTGCATATGAAATGTGAACTGGTCTTTAGTCCCTCTCAATCTCTTTTTTTCCCACTGCGTTTGCTGTGCTTTCTCCTTTGCACCCACTGCTGAGATTACCGTCTTGTTTCCATTCCCCACGCTGGGCGCCGCCACACACTGTGCTCTGCACCTGCATAGAAGGCAGAACCTGGCTGGGCCGAGGACCAGAGGCTGCCTTGAGTGGATAAGGGTAAGGGCGATTTAAATGGGGAATCATAAAATGGGCCGTGTAAGTCTGCAAGCTGCAGCGACCGACGTTTCATAGAGTTACACCCTAGCACGGGCTTGATTAGCTCAATTGACACGCCCTGTAGAAAACAAAAAAAAGTTGCAGGCATAGCTCCAGGGAAAAACATTCTGGTTAGAGGTGAGAGAACCCAGCTCCTAGCAAGAGAGCAGTAAGGAAAAGTGAGCCAGCCAACGCTACCGGGTACGGCAAGGGCAGCTCCTACACTGGCGTGCTGGCTAACACAGTCTGTCTCTAGTTTCCAGGTGGATGTTGATGCTACTGCGCTGTTTACTGCATTAGAATGAGATTGACTGAGATGGGGGTTTGTTGATCTCAAATGTTGTTGTCTGGTGGTTGTTATAGCTACCTGATCTGATTGACTTTCTTGCTATCATCTCATACTTTCTGTTGAATGAATGTTTAATGCGCTTCAGCACGGAATAAAACTTACAGTTAATACGCGCATAATTATTTTAAAAGAAATTTGCATAGCACTACATCATCAAGCTTTAGAGTACGAATTCAAAGCAAGCACATCGCACTTTACTTTCCCCAGGCCAATGACACGAGAAGGCTAGGGTAAGTGAGGGTGTAGCTAAACCGCAAGAGGGTGTGATGAAGTTTCTTTCCTCCGTGACCATGGATGTGATTGTGTCTCTACGTAGCTACTAAGATGTCGTTCGCTAATCCCGACTCGTGCGGGCTTTAACGGCAACGGAAGCAAAAGGAAGGGAAAAAGCTGAGCGAATATGGAAGAATGGCAATGGCAATGGACTAGAGTCTGATTATGGTCTGCATAATGGCGGCAGAAGTAGAGCAATTGATGAGTGAATGGTCAATCCAATTGAAATGGATGGATTGGACTGGGTCGGCAGGGCCGTGAGAGGTCGGATCAATTCGTACAGTAGAGGAAAGAGAGGCTCCTTGTTGCTAGCTCGTACCTCGAAGAGCTTCCGGTCGTACCTGGAGACGGCATGGAGCACATAACCTGGGGCATATTGGGATTCGCGAGAGACCATGCCAGGAACCTGCGCGAGACTCGTGGGAACTGACTGATGGGGCTCCATCCTAATCCACCCGTCCCGGCTTGGGAAGAGGAAGAGACCCATAGAATTCTTTTGTGCTGTGGAGCCCTGCGTCGCCGTAGGACCCGTTTGATGAGACCCCGGTCATCTGTGTTCTTCTTTTCTGTCTTGTCTACTTGTGATGGGGGGGCCACAGAAAGTCTGTGAGCAGCGAGTAAGATGGCGACATGCATCAAGTGAGAGACAATCAGTCTTGGAGAAATATGCAGGCATTGAGGTGTGGTACCCACTTCAAGACCGGGTCTCCATCATTTTGATCAGGGCCGAAAGTCTGTGGGCAGGGGCCATGCAGAGCATGCACGAGCGTGGGCCGGCAAGCTCGCCGGGAAAGAACCTAGCCCAAGCTTTCTCACGCATCTCACTTCGCAATTCAAAAAGAAGCTCTCGCCCGACTCAAACTTTCTCTTTTTTTCCTCTCCTCTTCACCCACGAATGCTTCATTCATAAGCGACCCTAACTTCGTGCGGTGCTTAGACACTTTCTTCCCCTTTTCCTCTCCACTCTACCTTGTTCCTCTGTTTCTCTCACAACAACAGAAGCGGCATCAACCTATTATTTCACTATATCTGCTGCCAACCTACAGCCGCACTCTACACAACCTAAGAATCGACATTCTCTTTTCCCATCATCTCCAACGATGGCTGAAGAGAAGGCGGCCGGCGCTCCTGCGCTGGACACCAACATCGAGACTGGCGGCTTCGACGAGAAGCGAGGACAAGCTGCTCCCCCCACCCACGCCCCCAAGGCTCCTGTCGCCGAAGATGAGGAGCCCGACGAGGACATGGACGCCCTGATCGAGGATCTCGAGTCCGAAGATGGCCACGCCTTCGACGATGAAGAAGAGACTCAGCCCGGAGGTGGCCGTGTTGTTCCTGAAGATCAGCTCCAAACCGACTCCCGAGTCGGTTTGACCGAGGCCGAAGTCCTCAACCGACGACGCAAATGGGGTCTCAACCAGATGAAAGAAGAGCGTGAGAACATGATTCTCAAGTTCCTGATGTTCTTTGTCGGCCCAATTCAGTTCGTGATGGTTCGTAAACCGTACCCTGAGCATTTCCCGTCTTTTCCCAGTCTTTCTATCGTTTCCCGCTCTCTACCTGCTTTTCCTCCAGGTTTCTCCACTTTTCGTCCTCAATTGCACTCGCCTGATTCCCCTGCGCACTTTGAACCAACTTTGAGCAAAATTCGACACTCGTAGCACGTTCTACGTCGTTTTTCCTGAGAGTTGTTCGGTGAAGCCGGTCGCGACACTAGCGATGGTGTTGTGTCTAGCTGAGCTTAGTGTGGTGGTCACTGCGCGGTATTTCCTAGTTAGGAAATACCTAGTTCCACCAACGAAAATTGGCCATAACTCCAACATTTCTCAACCAAAATTCACGATTTCTTTTGCTAACGACTTGTAGGAAGCTGCTGCTGTTCTCGCTGCTGGTTTGGAGGATTGGATTGACTTTGGCGTCATCTGCGCGCTGCTCCTGCTCAACGCCTGTGTCGGTTTCATTCAAGAGTTCCAGGCGTAAGTTTTGCAATCTAGTTCCTATTCCAAGGGTTCCTTTAGAACGTAACTAACACACGATTATAGAGGCTCGATCGTTGAAGAACTAAAGTTTGTTACCCTTCCCAAGCCCGGAGATCGTATGAATCTCTAGACCAGCTCTTTCCTGGCCCTGCTTCTCGAGCCTCACAAGAGCCTCGAGAAGCAATACGCCGAATGCTTATCGTAGAGCACCAGAATCTGACTGTTTAACAGGAAAACACTTGCTCTCAAGGCTGTCGTCCTCCGTGACGGTACTCTCAAGGAAGTTGAGGCCCCCGAGGTCGTGCCCGGTGATATTCTCCAGGTTGAAGAGGGAACCATCATCCCTGCTGATGGTCGTTTCGTTACCGAGGGCTGCTTCGTCCAGGTTGATCAGTCTGCCATTACTGGCGAGTCTCTCGCTGTCGACAAGCACGCTGGTGATAACTGCTATGCTTCCTCCGCTGTCAAGCGAGGTGAGGCTTTCGTCATCGTTACCGCCACTGGTGACAACACCTTCGTCGGTCGAGCTGCTGCCCTTGTCTCCCAGTCCGCTGGAGGAACTGGTCACTTTACAGAGGTTCTCAACGGCATTGGTAAGTCAAATAGTACCCTTCGGAGAAGTATGCTAATTCCCCACAAGGAACAATTCTTCTCGTTCTTGTCGTCGCCACACTGCTTGTTGTATGGGTGTCTTCCTTTTATCGATCAAATGGAATTGTAAGTCTTTATACATGGCGCTTGAACAGGCCGCTTAGCACTTCACGATGCAATCCCTTGGGTTCAAGCCCAAGGGCCATTTGCTCACCGTCGACCTCCCAAATAACACAGGGTCGAGGCAAAAGCGGCCTAGTTCTTCACTGGATCCCTTTTAAACTATTTTTTACTAACTGAAACAGGTTGACATCTTACGTTTCACCTTGGCCATCACCATCGTCGGTGTGCCTGTCGGTCTTCCTGCTGTTGTTACAACCACCATGGCTGTCGGAGCTGCCTACCTCGCCAAGAAGCAGGCCATTGTCCAGAAGCTGTCCGCCATTGAGTCTCTGGCCGGTGTCGAGATTCTCTGCTCTGACAAGACTGGTACCCTGACCAAGAACAAGCTCTCTCTCGCTGAGCCCTTCTGTGTTGCTGGCGTTGAGCCCGATGATCTCATGCTTACTGCTTGTTTGGCCGCTTCCCGCAAGAAGAAGGGTATTGACGCTATTGACAAGGCTTTCCTCAAGGCTCTCAAGTACTACCCCCGTGCCAAGAGCGTTCTGTCCAAGTACAAGGTTCTTGACTTCCATCCCTTTGATCCCGTCTCCAAGAAGGTTCAGGCTGTTGTTGAGTCTCCTCAGGGCGAGCGCATCATCTGTGTCAAGGGAGCCCCTCTCTTTGTCCTCAAGACTGTCGAAGAGGACCACCCTATCCCTGAGGAAATTGATGCTGCATACAAGAACACTGTTGCCGAATTCGCTACCCGTGGTTTCCGATCTCTCGGTGTTGCTCGCAAGCGAGGTGAGGGTGCTTGGGAGATTCTCGGAATTATGCCTTGCTCTGACCCTCCCCGTCACGATACTGCCCGCACCATCAACGAGGCCAAGCGCCTCGGTCTCTCAATCAAGATGCTTACTGGTGATGCCGTCGGTATTGCTCGTGAGACTTCTCGTCAGCTCGGTCTCGGTACCAACGTTTACAACGCTGAGCGTCTTGGCCTTGGCGGTGGTGGTGACATGCCTGGTTCTGAGGTCTATGATTTCGTCGAGGCTGCCGATGGTTTCGCTGAGGTTTTCCCCCAACACAAGTACAACGTTGTCGAGATCCTCCAGCAGCGTGGTTACCTTGTTGCCATGACTGGTGATGGTGTCAACGATGCTCCCTCTCTGAAGAAGGCTGATACCGGTATTGCTGTTGAGGGTGCTTCCGATGCTGCCCGCTCTGCTTCCGACATTGTTTTCCTTGCTCCCGGTCTTGGTGCTATCATTGATGCTTTGAAAACTTGTAAGTTTCCATTCTGCTGCCCTGTGTCGTTGTTTGAGGCTCTTTCGCTCCTCTTTTTTCGCGATGACCTCTACCACGACACAAAGGCCACCCCTTTTATGATAAGACCCATGCTAACAGCCCTCTAGCACGCCAAATTTTCCATCGGTCGGTATTGTGTTATTCCTTATGTCCAAGAGTCTCTGCTGATCGTTTTTAGTATGTACGCCTACGTTGTTTACCGTATTGCGCTGTCTCTCCACATGGAGATCTTCCTTGGTCTCTGGATCGCCATCCTCAACAAGAGCTTGAACATTGAGCTTGTCGTTTTCATTGCTATCTTCGCCGATATTGCTACTCTTGCCATTGCTTACGACAACGCTCCCTTCTCCCAGACACCCGTCAAGTGGAACCTCCCTAAGCTCTGGGGTATGTCCGTCCTTCTCGGTGTTGTCCTGGCTGTTGGTACCTGGATTGCTCTTACTACCATGTACGCCAACTCTGAGGATGGTGGTATCGTCCAGAACTTCGGTAAGATCGACGAGGTTCTCTTCCTTGAGATCTCTCTCACTGAGAACTGGCTCATCTTCATCACCCGTGCCAACGGCCCCTTCTGGTCTTCCATCCCCTCTTGGCAGCTGTCTGGTGCCATTCTGATCGTCGATATCCTTGCCACCCTCTTCTGTATCTTCGGTTGGTTCGTTGGTGGTCAGACCAGCATCGTCGCCGTCGTCCGTATCTGGATTTTCTCTTTCGGTGTCTTCTGTGTCATGGGTGGTCTCTACTACTTCATGCAGGGCAGCACTGGATTTGACAACCTGATGCACGGCAAGTCCCCTAAGCAGAACCAGAAGCAGCGATCCCTTGAGGATTTCGGTAAGTTCCTAGCCATTGCCTTGACGTTGACCTTCAGTTCACTAACTCCATCACAGTTGTCTCTCTTCAGCGTGTCTCGACCCAGCACGAGAAGTCTCAGTAAACTAGATGGTATATACCCGGACCACCATCGCCCGGACTTTTCACTTTCGCTCTGTCCAAATTTGAACTGTATTACTCGCACCCGAGTATTAAGACTCCTGGAGTGGTTGAGGAAACTTTCATACCCCTAGAGAACGTCTACTAGACACCTAATAATACAAGTAAAATAAATAATTCGTCCTCTAAAACCTGAGTGATCCTTGTCTCAAATCTGTGTCCATCTGGTTTTGCTTTCTCTGCGCCTATTTGATGGTTGCTATTGTCCTCAATTCGGTAGTTTTGCTGATTTAGTGGTTACCATTAATTCCTCAACTTATAGTTGTGTTCATCTTCCTCAACTGCAGCATGGCCTTTCACTGGTCAGCCCACCATCCATGATTGGCCTCTCCTCCAGCCTCTCGCCTAAGCACCATCCACTCAGTGTGACATCAGTTGCAACCTGAAGCCCCCTCCATATCTCAACAGCTCACATTTGCCGCTTCACAAATTCTGACAACTGCATTACTCCGCCTTTCCCGTCCAAAGCCGTTGTGGAAGCTATCGAGTGCCATAAGGACGATCATGAACCGCGAAATCCCTGGCTATTACTATGGTACGGAATTCTGGCAAACACTGAACTTTGTACTTACTTGCATTTCTGGCAGATAATGAGAAAAAAAAGTATTTCAAGATCGAAAGGACGCATACGGCGCCCTCGTCAGCTGCCTGGTCGTCGGATGCCGTGAAAAGGCGCAAAGTTGAGCACGAGGCTCAAAAACTCGCTGAGCACCAAGCGGACCAAATAAAGAGACACATCAAGCGCCATTTCGTTGCTGGACATACAGTCACGTCCGCACTTCTAACGAGGGAGATTGGACTTCCCTATGTCACCGAGAGAGGCCGCAGTAGAGTAGAGGATGAAGACCTTGGTGCTGCAGCGTGGGCAAGAGGCTCAGTGGCCAAAGGCAACGTCCCTTTTGCACCAAGCTTTGCAAGAGAGCGACGTGCAAATATGCCGTGCTTTTATGTCTCCGGGGACGATGAGAAGACCGGTCTAGGGGCTTCCTATGCCAGTAAGTCCTCGGGCCGCAGCGCTGCAACGCATGACTTCAGCATGATATCTGACTTGCCTTCCAGCTTTGGATGAGGAGACTTTGGTGGGAAGCTATATCCCTACAGATGAGAATGACGAGTTTGTCCTCGAGGCTGGAAGATACTTTAATCTACTGACATAGTGCAGAATTCATTTCTCACGAGAAGCACCCAGTTCTTCTGGCAGAACCCTATCATTCCGTACAGAGGCGGTACGATGTCCACAGATGTCATCAATCAAGTATCATCAGCCTTCACATACAATACTCTTGACTTCACGCGAACCTGACAACACCTGCGGAATATACTTCTTTTCACCACGACTGTCAAACCATAGGGACACCGATCGCCCGCAATGGCTGCTTGGCGAATGTAACTATTCTTTCTGCTTGGCCATGTATTGAACCCTGCTGACTTGCAAACAGCAATTCTCTACCAGAGAGTCGCTGTCCCTAATGAGGGACGTGGTGAATGGATGGTTCACAATAGCACGCCAGCACCTTCATCTTCGGACCTTATTTGTGTTGCTAGCTCTAACAGAGGCCTCCTTAGAATGCATTCCGAAGGGAGCGTCTCGGTGGTGGCTCCAAGAGCCGCTCAAAACGGTATACAACTCCCACAAGAAACGTTTGCGCAAGATTTCCAAGAGGGGAACCACAACGTTGTGTTCACTGGCGGGAGGCAACCCAGACTTTGGATAACAGATCTTCGCGCCCCTGAACCGCAATGGTCGTTTGCAAATCATGCAAGCTCCATCTCCCACATCAAGAGTGTAAACCCACATCAAGTGCTGGCATCGGGATTGAAGAGCTCGATGGCTCTCTACGACGTACGCCATCTTACAAGTGACCCACGTGGAACAAAGCCACTACTGTATTTTAACGGGCACCGCAACGAGGCTCATTTTCACATTGGTTGGGATGCCAGTCCGGAGCTGAACGTCGTTGCTGCGGCACAGGACAATGGGACAATAAAGCTCTTTTCACTGAAATCGGGCCATCAACTACGTTGTTCAGCTGTTGGGACTATTCACGTTGATTCGCCCGTCAAGGCGCTGATGTTCCAGAGGATGCCCAGGGAAAGAATGCCCAGTCTTTTTGTCGGGGAGGGGCCTTTACTAAGGAAGTTTTCTTTTGGAATACGGGACTGGGGTGATGAGGCGTGAAATTCGACGCAGGATAAAGGAGCTCTGCTGAAGATGCATAACAAAGGTGCAGATGAGATTTGTTGTGAGGAAACGAAAGTCTTGGTGGAATATCTAAGGAAATCTAAACTCTACAATAACTTGACTAGGCATGAAGGAAAAAAGACACGACACAAAGGAAAAGACATAAGAAAAGTGATATGAACCCAATGAAAAGACACCTTATGCCTAATCCTTTTCCAATCTCACAAAGAGACAAGATAAGCCCCCTTCCACGATCCACAAATATCATGAAACATTCCTCTCAATCGCAACTCTCGCTGTCGTCGTCTGTCTCTGCATGCTCACTGGTCTCGTCATCCTCCTCGTCGGCCTCATCCCCAGTCTTGCACCCCCGATGCCTAGATCGTCTCCAGCCGCCATCGCAGCCACGATCTAGATCATCTCCCATCTCCACACATCTTTTGCATGGCTTTCTTGAAGTAGAGGGAGGGTGGAAACAGACAATCTCATGACCTTCATCGTCCCTGGCGTCCTTGCAGTTGCTGCACTTACCAGGGCAACGCTTTTCGTGGCCTTTAATCATGCTTTTGATGTATTCTCTCCCACAGAAACGGCACGGAACCATACATGCTAGTTTGTCTTTAACTTTGCAGGTGGTTTTCTTTGCTAGGCAGTTATTGCAGCACCGTTTTCCCTTTTCACGCTTGCAGGGTATGTCATCTGCAACGCACTCTGTGCATCTCTTGCGGCACTGGCGTTTGTGCTGCTGATGAGTGTAATCGCACCAACACATCGGGCACGTCTTTTGCGGTTTCGGGTGGGTGAAGTCTTTGCAAGGCCCCTTTCCGAGACGACTGCACTCTTCGCAAGTCCTGGACAGCCGAGGCCGAACGCAGGGAATCCCTGCCTCAGAACAAACACCGCATTTGCCCTGACAATTTGGCCTGTGAGTTCTCATGTCGCGCACTGGAGCCTTACATTTCTTGCAAGTCCCTCTCTTGTCGTGCGAAAAGTTACCACAATCATGATCTCCGGTGTTGCAGCCTTTGCATTTGTGGTTTCCTGCAAAATTTCCTCGCGTGCAAGGTACCTTTCTTGCAATGCAGTTCTGGCACCGACCACGACACTCTCGGACGTGAGAATAGATGTTTTCCACAAACTGCAGGCACATATAACATTGCTCCGACCCCTTTGGCTTTGCTCTGTATTCGTGCGATGGGTCTTTGCATTTTCTGGGTGTAGGACAAGTGACGCAAGTCTTCTTTCCAACCGGGCGCACGCAGGGACTTTTGGAGTTGACGCACGCGAGGCAGCGCCCAACACACGACGGTTCGTGTTCGGCGAGTCTGTGTATGAAAGCTCGGCATCTGCCACAGGTACCTGAACCTACATCATTAAGGCCAAAAGGGTCCCCTTCCTGTGGTTGCATGCCTTCGAAAGAGGATATACCTCTGAGCCTCTCCCAGTTTGGTCCCAGCAGAGCCTTGCGCCTGAACTCAGCATGTTCATCAGACTCATACAACTGGCTGCAGACTTCAGGAGCATATAGACCCTTGAGGTCGCTGGGAGCGAGCCCTTCTGCCACTATGGAGACCGAGACCCAGTCAATCGCAGCGGTTGCCAAGCAATAACTGGCTTCCTTACAGCTGTAGTACACCAACGTTTGCAGTTGTGTTACCTGGATTGAAGCGGCAAAGAGGGCCGCTAGTTTCAAGTCGTCAGGCTGAGTCAATGGGAAAATCAGGTCGGCTTCGGTAAACGTGGGTATGACGGGTGTGGCCTTGGCCTTCACAGGTGCCTTCGCATAGGCATCCGGAACGCTGTCTTCTTGTGAAGAGAATTCGGCAGTATCAGATTGTGCCCCGTAACTCTGGTCAGATTCCTGCTCAATATCGCTGTAAAGGCCGTCCTTATCTTCATAACTGCTGCTCTTGGCTCGCAAGTCTATGTCGATATCGGACCCTTCAGAATAATCAACCCTTCTCCGCTTGAGGCGGCTGCTCCGACGAAGGAAAGGTGGCGAGCGAGAACGAGCGCGGGAACGAGGCTGAGCCTGGGCCCCTTGACCCTCCTCGTCTGCTAAATAGCCCTCCCCCATGGACTCGGAGCAGCCCACAAAGCCAAGGCGCCACCGTGAAGCTGGCTCCTGGACCCCGCACCCGCAAAATCCCAGAAACCGTCGTTGCGAATGTCTTCTATTGCGGGAAACATCGAGATAGATTGAATATCTGATGGGTCTGTGCCGAGGTGGACAAATCGCCCCAGTTGAGCAATCAGCGTGAGCCCAAGGCGTTGCTGTTCCAAGAACCAGCTGAACACCTTAGGCTCGAAGCTGGACACCCGAAGACGCATGATACAGAATATGGTATCAATGAGTTGTACCAGCCATGCCGGCACGTTTCTTATCACGTCGGATGTTCCGAGGATCGTCAAGCTCCGCTCATGAGAATGGGCACTATATCTCACGAGGAAGTTGATCCTGTCGTTGAATGGTGAAACGATGAAAGTTTCCCGTCTTTTCCCAGGTGCTGGATCTTGGAAGTAATTCATGATGTCTTCCAATATCTCCAGTTTGGAAATATCACACTCTGCTTCGAAGTATGACGTAATAAGGTCTCTTGGAACAATAGACTCATGGGAAGGGTCTATGAAGATAGTCTCAGCTGTTTTGCAGAACGCATCCGCAGGGAAGCTGCTACCAGGAATGACGGAGAGGAGATCATCCCTAGTCGATTCGGGAATAATGTCCTCATGGTAGAGAGACGCTGCCTCTTGGTCGCTTGCCAACGATTCCGAGGGCGGATTCCCGGCCATGGGTACGTACTCGTCCTTGTCAAGAGAATCCGCAAAAGGAGGCATTATCAGGGTACAGGTAAGAGAATGGATTGAGCGGTGGTGAAATACAAAAGCAAGTATGGGTTTGATCCGAAGAGGACGGAAGAATATATTGTAAGTGAAAACAAATGGAATGAAATAACAGGAGTAATGAATGGATATGGATATCACAGATGTCCTAGGAGAGACGTTACTGTCCAGCAGTATCCGTCAGTATAGGTAAAAGTGGGCAATTAGTTCAGTTTACAGTCTTGGAGGTAACACGGGGGCCCATTCCTTATGGGCAAATATGAGAGCATCGAAGTGCCTGGTCGCTCACAGTCTTCTCGCCCCTTACCAGGGGCTACGCAACTAACAAGTCAACCCAAACAACTAATTATGAGAGTATCAAAGAAACTCACCAAGCAAAAGCGCATGTGAATAGAGCTAGTGGCGATACTTAATTTAGATCGTGGGCTTTGCAACGGGATCAAGGCGCGGTAAAGGCACTTCGTTAGTCACATAGCCCTGAGACTGAAGCTTTGGTGATATATTTACGAAGAGAACTGGGCGAGGCGCCAGGGATTAGGAACCATCATTCCATAATTTGTTTCGTTGAAACGTCATCCACTGTATTTTCTTCTTTCGTCCAAGCCCGATGTGTCAACTCCCATGTCTGTTAGCAACGCCACAACCATCAAAATAGCCCATGATAGAGAATGACTGCTCACAATATGGCACCCAACATGGACTGGTAATGGGAAAAGCGGTTAACTTCGGCCCATTTTCTCAAATACCCGATATATCTGGAAGAAATGCTGAAATGAAGGCGAGAGAAGACGTGGCGGCTGAGTGACACTTGGCAAGCTGATGGTTGACCCGTGTTCAAATTACTCTTCGACAAGGACGAACCCCCCATAGCAGATTCTCAGGACTGGGAAATTCTATTTCTGTGAGATCCTTCCGTTGCTCAGATAACCTATCTCAGCTTCAAAGCGTCGTGAGAATCGATGGCTTGTTGAAGTGATACATGGATTGACCACGTGACTTTGTGTGAAGGCATTGTCTAAGGTTTCTCTGTTTGATCAGACAAGCCAAGCTCACTAGTTTGCAACATGAAGTGTTCAAGATAGCCATTCAGCTCTATTCAACAGCTCGCTTGTGCATGGTCAAACCTCGCAAAATGCCAATATTGGTCATGCTTACTATATTAACATCACCGTAAGATAACTGAAGCCCAAACGACAGGGAAGTTCACTTTAGCTCTGACTCACCGGTCAGTCTTGTTTGCAATTCCTTTATTGTAGCTCTGTTGTAACTTGGTAGGTCTTGTAGATAACTTGACCTGTCACTATCTGATGCTGTGCCTTCTGAACCAAGAACGGAACCAAACAGGAACATACGTTGCATAAGGAAGGGTGGCAGGTGGAGGACAAGAAAACTTTAGGACTTTTATCCTAAATTATCCTAAGTGATGAAAAGAATTAGGCAATTTAGTCTAGGATTAGAAGACTCTTTGCTAAATTTATTTTGGCATCCGCTATGTTTCTTAACCCTCCAAGAGGTAATAGTCACAAGCACCAAAGGTACAGCTACATAAAATGCCACAAAGGATTTCACATTCAATGAGCAAAAGGAGCCAAGTTAATATTGCCAGCTGTTGCCAGCTGCTTACTTATCGACTACAGACTTCTTCCTATAGATTCCCATGCTAGAAATTCTCATCCTATCTTTTCCTCCTCGCCCTCCTCCTCCCGGCATTCTTTCCATCCATTCATCACAATTTCACCACTCACCTTTACTTAAATCGACCGACAGCAAGCCTGTTTAGTCTTCCACAATGCCTGTGGTCAAGGTAAATAGCTCAAGGCTGGGTTCAGAATAAAACTGACTGATAATTCTAGCCTTTCAAGTGTCCTGAGTGTAGCAAGCCTTATGGAAGAAAGTCAGGCTTGAAACAGCACGTCAATACCGTTCATAAGAACAAAACACATCGATGCCCATACGGATGCGGGAAATCATTTTCTCAATGGAATGGGATGAATGCACACGTCAGGGCCGCCCATGAGAATATTGTCTACCCGTGCCCATACAAAGAAAACGAGGGGTGCAAGGCCAAAGACTTCAAGCAGAAGCGGTCTTTGAATGATCACATAGCCAAGAAGCACAAGGGAGAAGAAGGCAAAACTTACAAATGCCCCGATTGCCCCAAAAAGTATACACAGTCACACAATTTGGCGAAACACGTAAAGGCAACGCACCAAGGGGTGCGTATCCCTTGCCCCTACAAGGAAGAGGATGAATGTGAAGCAGATTTTGCTACTCCAGACGGAGTTAAGCAGCACGTCAAAGATATTCACGAGAAACACGAGCGGTTCAAGTGTCGAGACTGTACGCAAACATTCACACGAGAGAGATCCGCCAAAGATCATTATCAACGCGTTCACGTCAATCCTCCCTTACCGTACAGCTGCAGTTTTTGTGGAAAGAAGTTTCAGTTTCTTTCCAGCAAGGACGGACACGAGAAGCGCCACACAGAGTATGTCTGCCCAAGAAACAGTTGTTACGATGGATTCAACTCCATTGAGGACGCCCTGGAGCATGCGAAGGATCCTCAACATCGCAGCGATCAACAATTATACGAGTGTCCGGTAGAGAATTGCCGCCTTACAGTCATCGGCAAGGTTCTTGACAAGCCTTCTCTGGTCAAGCATTGGAAAATGCATATCAAGCAGGAACACATTTCGGGAGAGCTTGAATTGGTCTACAAAGATGCAACACAGCCGCCTTTCCGCGACATTCCAATTCTGGGTTCCATAATGGCAAACAACCACTCACTTCTCTTGGCAGATGCCTCACTCGGCAACACTGTCCCTGAGCCCCAGGAAGACGCAGATGAAGACGAAGACGAAGACAACCAGGCGGATGAAGACGAAGACCAGATATTAGTCGGTGCCGACGAGGAGATCAATATCCTGGAGCAGAACAGAGTCTGGTTTGGTATGTGACGCACTTGTTATTCCTTCAGTGGATTTTGAAGAACTAATCACCCACTAAATAGAGTCACATAAAGATCACCTCGTTTCCTTGAATGCCAGAGGGTACAAGTGCGCCGGACCGGCCCTTGAGACAACGCATTTTATTGTTGAAGCCTGCCCTGAAGGCGCAATAATTGATTTCGATACAGCATTGATAAGGCGCAGTCGGGGTAGAAGGCTCCCGACCATGTCGCTTGACAGTCGGTGTGCGAGCTGCCACTCAGATATGAGGGTCAGACAGTTGATCAAACGATTCGACTCTCCGAAGATCGACCCGACGGCTAGTCTCAGTGACCTGACCAAGACATTTTACACAGCAATATCAGAGACCTGGACTTGCACCAAGGATTACGAGCGGCGAGTTCGGCAGCCAGTTCGGGAAGGACTCGGCCAAAATGTTGTCATTATCGATAACGAATTCGACCCGATCACACATGAGTTGTACGAAACAGCCATTATTGACCGAGTTTCCGGCAAAACACTGTTGAATACTCTCATAGCTCATACCGAAGAAACGAAGTCGGCTGTTCCTTCCCGGCGTACACAAGGAGAGAAGGTCGAGATAATTAGCCATCTGTGGAAGAAAAAGGTGTATGGTCGAAGCCGCGAAATCGCACTGCTGGACGTGCACCAAGTCGCAAAGAGATTGCAAGAAATCGGCATCACACCAGAGACAATATTTCTGGCCTGGCATGTATCATGTGCCGACCTTCAGATCCTCAGAGACTTTTTGGCCAAGGGGGGATACCACAATATCTTACCCAACGATAGGAATTGTTTCCCCCTCATCCCTCTTTTCCGCGCCAACATGCCCAAGGGGTTGTTCCCCTTACGCCTTGAGATCGTATACCCCGTGATGTTCCCACGAAGCGACTTGTGTGGGCACAACCACCGAGCTATAGTCGACTGTAAACAAACTCGGGACGTTTGCAATGGTCTTGATAATTTTTGTGAGCCGGTTGAGAACCAGAATGAGGATTGGCAGCAGCCCACTAGGGTTGCGAAGAAAGCCCAACGCTGCATTCTGGGTTACTTTGCTGAAGGCAAGCGGTAGTGTTTCGTGTGTATGAGAGTGAGGTGTAACAAGGAAGGGAGTGGGTGCTGGATGCCCGGTGTAGCCATACGATTAGAATAGGATTTAGGATCCTTAGGATAAGATTTTATGAATTCAGACTAGATTTAGGCCAGCTTTTGGAAACTTTAGGATAAATCCCTTTGGGGCAACCTTAGCTTCTGTTGACTACCATCTAAGTTACCTTGCAATATTTACCTAAGCCTAGGTAGTGATTATATCCTTTAACCGCGTCCGAGCATACAAGTATACGTATTTTGGTGGCTCTGAAAACAAACAACTCCGGTAAGCGTGATAAATACCGTATACTCTGGGTGGCAACTGCCATGGTCCAGATTTGCCATCACAATACGACATCCTGTTTTCCCTTGGACAAAGACAACGCAAAGCCAAACTCCAAGACTTGGAGGAACGAACACACAAGACGCCAACCGTGAGAAAAACATTATTGTACAGAGTAGTTACTTTGATACGGTACTTTTCTGGCACCTGTGTCATCGGCTGCTAGACGAAGTTGGTCGTGGCGAAGTAGATTGGCTGAGGTTGAATGTTCCTACTAGCTTAGGAAACGCCTTGGCAAAAGCATCACCCAACTTCCAATTATCCAGGTTCCGTAGGTGGCGCTCAAAGACGGGATTGATCATGAGCTCATCACTGTCTGGGTCCTGAAGTAACGTGTCGGTCTCCTCGTATGGCCAAGACAACGAGAGAGTTGTGGTAAATGGTACAAAGAAATTATCAAAGGGGTGAAGAAGGGGGTTGTGATCGCGAACCAGATAATCTCGCATCTTAGGGAAGGGAATGTGGTCAAGCCAAGCAGCATGTGGGATGGTGAGTTGAGAAGGACATGGCGCCATCCATTTGGGGAGCCGGTCGTAGTTCTCCTGGGTAGGCTCTATTTGCCAGCGCATTACAAGAAACATTATGTAGAGCACGGCTACACGCTCAGGGAGAGTCGAAATATCAGGGAAAGTGGCGAGGATATCGGTGAACACCTTGGAGAGAGGGTGACTGTATGCACTGTTGGCAGGGTTGAGAAGTGATGAGACAGAGGGATAACGAGGGCCAACAACATCTTGAGCAGGCAGTCCATCCGCAGCACGCTGACGACGCTCGCTGAGGAAGTCGAGTAGTAAAGAGTCAAGGGGACAGGTCGGTGGGCAATTCTTGATAGGGGCTGCAGGATCGGTTATGCTGGGTTCACTCCGAGGTACAGGTCCACCAGCAGCACTCATGGCAGGGCTATAGCCAGGGCTGTGTGAGCTTTCGGGTGTATGTGCAGCCGACAGTGTGTGATGTGGTGGAGGTTGATGCTGGCCTTGCTGTTGCTCCTGTGAAGGCTGGCCTGGCTTTCCTTGAGAGCCCCAGCTTGCCGATCGACTATGCAACGCACGCTCTTGATTGACGCCTGTCCAGTCGTGCTTCATAGGCATATGGCGGAACTGTGGCGTGTCTTGGGCGCCGTTGACGCCATTCTGTATCCGGTTCACCCGCTGAGATGGTTCGAGTAGGAATTCGAGCCCAAGACGTTCAGGGCCCATATCGAGCCCATGTTGGAGATTTCGGCGCTGTTGAGTCAATTGGCTGGCAGCTTGTGCTTCGGCAGTATTTGGTGGCCCGGTGGGTGGGTGAGGAGAGTGGTGATGTTGAGGAGGCGCATGGTGTCCCTGGTGATGCCAGTGACCTTGACTTGGTCCAGGGTCATGGCTTGGAGGAGACGCAACGCTGCCGGGTGTTGAAGCAGCGTTTGCATTGTTGTGGTGATTGTTGTGGACGGCCAGAGTAACAGGATGCTGTACGGGGGGCGCGTACGTCTGAGCTGGTGATACGTATGCTTGTTCAATGCCAGCTAAACGCTGTGTTAATCCTGAATACAGGGAGAAAAGAAACGAGATGCTTGCCTTGACCAATAATGGGCTGGAGCATGGCAACTATGCCAGCTAAACGACGCTTGATGTCGGCATTCTCTTGTTCAACGGCTTCTTTGGCACGAAGAACACTCTGCAGTTCTTGATAGGGTTGCTGGTTGGTGAGTTCTTGGATTTGGCGCTGAAGATCCTCGATTTGATTCTTGGTCCGCTCACGAATCGCCCGTTGAGCCTCACGGTCTGTAAGAGGTGTTAGTGGTGTTACATGTATCTTATCACATACGATGAGACCAGTGGGGTGAGTCTCAAGACAGGAAGGGGATAGACATGAAAAGATCAACAGGAACAAAGACGACCATTATTCGTCAGCAGCCTGAGTGACTGAACCGTGATATGGTGGTTGATATGTCATATCATCAGAAAGGAAAGAAAAGACTGAACTCACCGTTCGCTCTCTTCTTAGCGAGTTGCTCAGGTGTCAAATTGGCGACACCTCGACTCCCAGGGCCAGCCTTCTTCCTCCTTTTTGCGCCATCATCACCACCAGCGGGTGAACTTGGGTTGACCGCGTCGGCATCGCGTTTGAGAGAAGCCGAATCATCGTCCGGGCCAGGGCCGAAGCCAGCGGGACTCTGAACGGTGCCTGGGGTATCGGGACCGGAGGCCATCGGAGCGGAAGCGGGAAGAAGCCCCCGTCTCGGAGTGGGTTTGTCCTCGGCAGTTGAGGCGGAACAAGACCGAGGCGAGAGGGAAAAGAGGCTGACTGAGACGGAACGGAGGTTTGTGTCTGAGAGTGTGGGGGTAGACGAACGAGGATGAGTTGTTGTGTATCCACTCAATCGACGAGCGAGCCAACCTTAACTCAACGAGGTTCCTTGCCTTTCAGACAACCTAGGTACTCAAGAGCGAAACCTCTTCCGGCCTGGCAAGAAGGGCTCTGCCTCGTCTCGCGTCTTATCGCTCCTGTCTGCTTCACTCACTCGCTCGCTCGACTCAACGAGTCAGGACGAAGCAATGCAATGCAATGTACGACACGACACGGCCCAGCAAGGGGAGTCTTAGGGGGGAATAGCCCGGTAATGAAGATGAAGATATCCAATCCCTTCGCACCTGTGGGGTCACTTCCCCTACTCGATACCTCTCTGTAGCGAGAGAGAGGGAAAAAAAGGAAAAGGTCGAGAACCAGGCCAGGGCCTAGAACGAATCGTCGGTTGCACAGCACGAGCAAAGCGAATCAATCGATTAACGATCGACCGGGTCCGTGGAAACAATTGTAACTGGAAAGAGACAGGCACAGCTTCTGAGGGGGGACTGTTGACTCATAAAGCCCGCCAGCTCCAGGTTGAGAACGAGTCATGGACCCTCACAAAATTGGATTCGAGTGGTGAACCATGAACGCACAGACCACAAGCCACCGTCGAATCAGGTGACTCGGTGATTTAACGAAAACTCCCCCCAACAAGATACGATCTGGGAATAATAAGGCCGAGTATGACCGCGAGAAAAAGTGCACTGACATGCATGCATTTCCAAAGGAGACGTTGGTTGTTTTTATTATGATGTAAGTGTAGTTAGTCCAAGATTTTCAAGTTACCTATGTTTGTAAATATTTCATGTCTCCTTAACAATTCCGCGACAATCTCGACCTCATCTCTGTTGCCTACCCTGTGATACTGAGTTTCGAGTGTATAAGTAATAAAAAAAAACATTCATGAGACTTGGACTTATTGTCAAGGGACCTTCTTATTTCACATCACCATTCTATGGATCTTGCATCCTGACAAAAATATGCATCGATATTGTGATGGTACAATTACTATCAAACCGCCAACGAAACGAGATTATCCTCTCTCCAAGTCTCTTACATCAATACCATCCTATCCCACAAAATCTCTACTAGCCCGTGCCTTGCCCTTTTGTGTATGTCTCGTCTTCAAGCTCATTAGGCATCCTACTATAGCCATACAACCAATTTCCCGTATTCAACAAACCCAATCCGTGGTATTCCCAAGTTCAACATCTACTCCGCCGATGCTCTTGCAAGAGCCTCGTGCAGATGAGGTGGGAATCTGTATCGCAACTGACTGGTATACGTCGTCAAATCCAGCGTCATCTGCTTCAGCTGATCCACCATCAATCGTCGTGTGCCTTCATTGCCGCTGAACTGGCCGCTTGTGAGTTGCTCTCGCTGGCGAACGCAGCAAATAATGGTCCACATCAATAGGTTAGGCACGTTGATAGAAACGGGCTGTGAGAGGCCAGAAAACTTCGAGGCATATGCTCGAATGGTGCTGCCATCGCCTGCAGCATCCAGAGGGAGGATTTCGAGGCCTCGGATTCTCTGTTCAAATTTGTTAGCAAAATCCATTACACGAGAATTTTGTCAACTTACGTCGAGGCACTGAGCCCACTGTCCGGATTCCACCAAGCCCTTGATGCTGCTCATTTCCAGCAGCACCCGGCAAGCGACCTTGTTCTGGTCCTGGATCCTCCTGTAGAACATGGCGTCTCGCTCGTACATGCTCATCATGGTCTTGGCCAACTCGACAGGATCATCAATGGCTGCCAGGCTGAGACTGCTGCCGGCGTCCGCCTCTTGCTCACCAGCCCGGGGTTTGACAGGCATGAGACGCATAGGGTCCTCACCAATCTCGAGAGACACAGCCTCGCTCAATGCACGACTGACAATGGCAACGACGGTATCATATTCACCAGCCAGATGGTACAGCAACACAGAATCTGTGGTACGGCCGTTCTCATCCGCAAAACTAGCGGCCTGAAGCGTGACAGTGTTGACAAAGTCGTCCTCGGCATCAAGTCCAATGAGAGGACCGCGTTCCTCGATGATGCCACGAATTCGTCGACCATCTGGTCGGATATCACCAATCAGCTTGCTGAACTCGCGTGTCTCGAGAACCAGCTCTCGGAGAGCCTCGTGGCAGAGGCTGCCGTGTCGCTGGCCAGCTTCACCGCCAAGATCTTGGTTCAAGCAGATGAGGGTCAGGTAGTCCACAGCAGACACGACGTCTGCGGCTCTAAAGTCACGAGTGTAGTACCCGATCATGCGACCAAAGTTGATCTGTGGTAGGTTCTTGGTGCTGTAGCTTCGCAGGTCGTTGGATGGTGACATAGCGTCGCTTGGTCGGAGCAGACCGTAGAACTCGAGCGCGAGTCCAAAATGCACAGCATCGACGTACGAGAAGGGATACAGGTAGGCGATGGCATCCTCAAACATACCTGAGAGAATCTGCAGGTAGAAGAACATGCCAAAGCTGCCGTTGCTGTCCTCCGAGTTGGCCTTGGGGAAGTGCTTCAGACCGATTTCTCGGATGCTAGACTGCAACTCAGCCAGGCCATATGACTCGCCAGCCATCTCGATCGTCTTATCGCCCTCTCTCGCCAAGTTGAACTGAAGCCAAATCCAATCATTGATATCTGTGTTAAGTCCTTCCAGGTTGCGGTTACCGAGTTCGATACGTCCAATAACCTTATAACAAGCCATGCGGAAAGGGTCAATCGAGTTTTCAGGGGCGTTGCGCGAGCGCTGAATGTACTCGTTTGTGCAACGATCCAGAAGCTTCCTGTTTGTAATACGGCGATCCTCACTGGCAGCGTAGTTGTTTAAGTACGTTGCAAAGGTTCTATCAATGCCTCGGAACTGATTGGTGTTGTCGTTAACATACTTAGCCGCTTCGCTCACATGTCCTGAGCGGAGCAGATAAAACACAATAGCCCAGACATATTCGCCCTGAACCTGCTGAAGCTCAGTATTGTCAGGAACCAGATCCTTTCGTGCGGACCGTAGTCGGATGTACGCCTTGACCTTGCTGACAATATCGGGGAGACCTCCAAGCTTCGCCTCGTGAGGATGCTTAGCAATAAGCGACTCAACTTCGCGTAAGAACTGCTTCTCAAGGAAGACGTTTGCGCCACTGAGGATACGCTTTCGCATCTCAACAGCCTTGGCTGAGTTGGGGTTGTCGTTGAGATACATATCTGCAAATTCGCGCTCCCTGGCCGTGGCATTGTTAAGTGTCGTCTCGGCATCAGGGTTCTCGCCTACAATCTCCATGACTGCAAGGTACGCCTCAACAAGGTGTGGCGCATGGGGTTCGTGTGACTTTTTCTCAACAGCCGCGAGCTCAGAGAGGATGGGATAAGGTCGCTTAAGAAGACGAGCTGTATTGAGGTTGCGGATTTTCTCAGAGAGACGTCCTTGCCTCTCGCGAAGCACTCTATCGTCAGAGGAAATACGACCATCCAGGCCACCAGACTCAGAAGAGCGGTCGACATCTGAGAAGTCAGTTGTATGCGCTCCAATTCGGCTAGGGGTTCCGATGACAGATTTCTGGAGTGTCGACCTGCCAAGAACGCTGGCTCTGCCACTCTTTGCCGCTGGGGCCTGGCTCTTGCGCCGAGATCGACCGAAAGCGCTCTGAGATTCACGACCAGAGGTAGCAACATCCTCACGAGGCGAGATTCCAAAGTGCTGGTAAATGCGCTTTCGTTGGGCCTCCCATTCCATCGTAACATTGTCTTCGAGGAAGTTATCAAAGTCGCGAACCGATCGATCGATCCCATCGGCAATCATGCTGAGAGTCGTCTTGGTCTGGAGGTTCGAGAGGTATGTTTCAACGTCGAGTTCGCTCGGGGCGTATCCATGGGTAGTTCGCTCAGTGCGACCAGCCTGGACATCAAGGAGGCCAAGGTCCTTAGCAGCAACACCAGGATCAACACCAGAGGCTGCAAGAAGATAGTGAGCTTTTCCACCAAGAGGTTTGTCGCTAGGCTTTGATTGGAGCTTCTTCAATCGATGCCGTAAATCGCCCAAACCAAGCTCGAGACTCGGGAGGTCCTCCATGTTGGCTTTACCATCAGCTTTCTGGCTTTTGGCAAAGAGACTGTCGAAATAGGCACCCGCTGGCTGTGATAACGATTGTCCATTGGGGGCCTGGCTGGCAAAAAGACTACCCCCCAGGGTGCTTCCGCCGAGGGTGCTTGCACCAAGCATCGAAGGCGTGTTCTGCTGGGGTTGCGGCTGCTGCTGCTGCGGTTGACCGAACAATGAGGGTTTCGCAGCTGCCGCAGGTTGCGCTAGGGAAGATCCAAACAGCGACGGCTTCTGTTGCTGCTGCTGAGCGCCAAACAGACCGCCTGTAGTTCCACTTTGCTGAGTCTGCGCAGGTTGTTGTCCAAACAGTCCAGTGCCAGTTCCAGCGCCGGTGGTTGTGCTGGCCGGCTGTGTCGTTGACTGACCGAAGAGACCACCGCCTGTGTTACCGGTCTGCTGCTGTTGTTGCGGCTGTCCGAAGAGGCCAGTACCCGTGGTAGCTGGTTTGTTTGCGCCCAGTCCCCCAAACAAGCCTCCTCCCGTTGTTCCGCTCTGTTGTTGTTGTTGTTGGTTCTGGGCATTTTGACCAAACAGACCACCGCCTGTTGCTCCGCTCTGCTGATTCTGTGTTGTAGACTGTCCAAACAGCCCGCCTGTTGTGCCACCCGTGTTGGCTCCTCCAAACAGTGAACTGCCACCAGTGTTGGTGGACTGTCCGAAGAGTGACATGGCGCCTCGTTATCGATTACCGTCGGGGGAAAAATGCGATCGTGTCTCCTCGGGTTGTATGCGAAGCGATGAAGTGCTGGTCACAGACGAAATATCTGAAAAGGTGGTTGAGAGAATATGAAAAAGCCTGGTCAACAAACAGAGAAAGGCGGCGCGTTTGGATCTAGAAATTTAGGAGTGGGCCAAGGCTGGGATGAGATCCTTGGAGGTGAAGCTTTGCCCAATCAGAGAGAGAGTTTGCTCCCAGGCAACGCTAGGCAAACTGCAGAGTCAATGCTTTAGAGCTCCAGCTTTCAGCCAGTAAATGTCAAAGCTAGAAATGGATTGTGATACACCAACATAAAACATTGTAATTAACAAAGAAAGAAGTTGATTATTCTATTTCATTCACCCATTTAGAGATACGCCTTCGTATCTGCGCACGCATGATCATTAATTACTGGTCTTTATACCAAATTCCAACGCCAATTGCCCAAACCCAGCGCTCATCAACTTCATATCATCATCTAATTCACAAGCTCAACCCCTAAGCACCATTGGGAGCACCATTGACACGTGCCTTCTTGGAAGCCACTTTGTCAATCTTGCTACGGTATTCCTGCTGTGTCTTGCACATGTCCAGGAAGATTTCATACTTGGCATCAAGAAGAGCCTTTTCATCCTCGTTGGTGCTGGGATCGACCAGCCGACCTCGCTTGCTCATGCGATCCATGATGCTCCAGAGAGACTCAGGCTCACTGCCCTCCTTGGCATGACTTGCTGCCTTGGCACCAAGCATGGCAGCACCGTGAACGACGGCAGCATTGACGTAACGGGGGATAAGGACAGGCATGCCGCAGGCGGTTGCTAGAAGGTTCATGAGAACGGGGTTCTGGCATTGAGAACCAGACATGAAGATGGAGGAGATCTCATGGCCAGCATTGTTCATCTGCTCGACAATTTGGCGAGTCTGCAATGCGATGAATTCCATGGTGGCGTAGTACCAAAGGGCCATGTTGTCGGTGCTCTTATCGCTGTCTAGTCCGATCATGCTGCCCTTCATGTTGGGATCAGCGATTGGTGAGCGGTTACCCCAAAGGTCACCATAGAAGAAGTGGTGACGTCCAAGGTATGAAATCGAGGGAGCATTATGCTTCTCAACCATTAACTCAAGATGAGTGTTGAGGAAGTCATAGATGTGCTTGTCTTCAGCCTTGGCAAGGGCGCATGTCTCATTGTAAGCAGGGTGGATGTCAAGCATATGCCGCAGAAGCTCTCCAGTCGCGGACTGACCACCTTCAGCCATCCAAAACTCGGGCAAGAGGACATCACGGTAAGGACCCCAGACACCAGGTACAAAGACAGGCTCCTTGGACAGAGCCAAGTGGCACGTGGAAGTTCCCGCAACAGCAGCCAAACGAGTGAAGGCTTGGGCAAGGTCATTGTGAGGTACAGCAGCGTTGAGTTCGTCGTCCCCAAGATCGACCTTGGCGCCCACAGTTCCGATCCAACCTGCATATGCGTCAATGACACCGCTGCCCACAGGGATGCCCATGGGAAGACCGAGTTGGTTCGCGGCTAGTCTACTTAAGGTGCCTACAGGCTCGCCAGCGCTGACATAGGTTCCGTTCTGCGAATTTTATGGTTAGCTTCTGGTGTATGAAAAGAATGGAGCAGAGAAAGCAAGGGGAGAAAATATGAAAAAGGCTCACCACCCCGTTGACACCACCCATCTGCTTGAAGTCGTCCTTGGTAAGATCTTCAAGGCCAATCTCATGGTAGAAGTCTTCTTGCCAACCCTTGACGCTACCATCAACACCCACTGGGACGAAGCCCTGCTTGCAAACGACACTGCAGTAGCTACGGGTCTCGTTACCAGTGGCCAAGTGTGTGAGAGCATCGGCAAGGTCGTAGAATTTGGCACGGGCGAACAGCTCAGGCGGCATGTGGTTCTTGAGCCAGAGCACCTTTGGCATCTCCATCTCGATGCTCATTTTTCCACCAACATATTTGAGAAGCTTGTGCTTAGTGTTGTTGATCTTCTCGGTCTCTTCGACAGGTCTGTGATCGAGCCACAGGATGACGTTGCGGTCATTGCCATCATTTGTGAAGTCTGGGCCGGTGACGGGGAGCGGCTCGTCGGTGTCGTGGGTGAAGACGGCAAGAGAGCAAGTGGCATCAAAGCCAATGCCCTTGATGCTCGAAGGGTTGACTGTGGACTCGCTGACGACGCGGCGGACACATTCGCAGATGCATTGCCAGATGTCTGTGGTTGATTGTTCCTAGAGGAGTCAGATTATGATGGGTATTGGAGTTGCGAGTGAAGCTTACGTAGTAGCCAGTCTCAGGCTGCCATAGCTTGATGTTCTCAGAGGCCAGAGCCTTGATATCACCAGTTTCGTCAATGATGCAAGCACGAGCAGAGCCAGTGCCGACATCGACACCGATGTAGTGATCCTACACAGGACAAGTCAGTCATGACACAACGTTAACCTTTCGCAACCGCCACCAACGGTTGAAGGGTGTATCTCGATGAGCGCATACCAAAACTTGAGGAGGTCTATCCATTGCGAAGAAGGAAAGTTAGCAACTGTGCCTGAACTGTGAAAGAATGGCGAGATGAAGAGAAAACCTACTCCATGACTTTGATGGGCTTATGGTTGTTATACATAGTCTTATTTCTGAATCAGAGTGAGACAACGTTTATTTGTCCGATGAATAAGCTCCAAGGCTTGAGTTGGGCAAAACAAAATTCCCAAACGGGGAAGACGATGAGTGAGCGAGGGAGGGGAAGAAAGATTCGAGGAGGTGTGAAGCAGAAGCAGAAGGCCGAGAAAGGAGGCGTCGTCTGAGGCGGAGGTGTCACCCCGCGAAAAGCAACAAAAGTCTGGAACTCTGAGTATGTACAGTAGCTGAGGGTGTGTAGCCAGTGATGGATCACTGAGTCTTAGCTCGAGATGGACTGGACTGGACTGGATTGTACTGTATTCGTCTGTAATGCTTTGTAACTCAATTCATAAACATGAATAAACAGATGACGTTGCTCTGTGAGGGCATGGATAGAGAAGAGACCTCACTCATATATATCTATGATCTGAACAATTGAATTGATCATCAGACGATGTGGAGCATTCTCCCAAAATAAGCTCGTGGGACACTTTTTATTATGGACTCTCTTCTCTCGGCGTCTCGCGATTCACCAGCAAGAAAAAAAAAGAGAGAGGCCAGTCATGATGGGGAGAGCTCCATTGTTTGCCCATGATGGATGGGAGCTTTGACATGTTCTGAGCCCGGGGAACCCCCACCGAAACCCACTGTTTTCAGGGCGGGGATGCTCGGGATGCATGAGCCTAGAGTGAAGAGGACGTGGGAGGCAACGCCAGAGGAGAGGGCGTGCTATAGTAATTCAGGTGTGTCTATTGAGATCCAATACCAAGAGCTTTAGAAGCTGAGAATCGCTGCAGGTTCTCCCAAAGATGGAGAAGCTCTGCAGCCGAGAGTCGTGCTGAATGTCAATGCTACTATTCAGTGGCGTCCTCAACAGCAGCATCGCTCTCAGAGACTCTCTCTCTAGACTCTCTCTGTACTCTTTTTCTTCACTCGAACCGTTCAAAATGTTGCTGCCTGAGCTTAGGTGGGGTTCCCAAGCCACCCAGAACGGTCCATCAGTCCATCTCCAGGCTAGCGATAGATTTCATGATCTGCCATTACCATTATGAGAACTCATGATGAGCAATAACAGCATCAAATACACGGTGTGTACATAAAATACAACTTGGCAGGAGAAACAAAAAGCAAAGAAGACTATTCCTTGCTTCGTTGATAACCAATCATGAGACCGATGTCTAAGAATCCATTGACTTGCGAATCGCATATCACAGACATCGGTATTCCCCATATCCATCTAGGTTTAAACCACATGGAAATTTGTTGACGACGATGCCCAACTCAACAAGATATCACCCCTAAACGACCCCCTAGCCTAACTTCAACCTAATCGTTGGCACCAAACTCTAGATATAGCAATACCTACTCTGAGACCCAGTAGAGTACCTCAGGAATTGTCTAAGCGACTCTCACGATGCGATCAACGCATCTCCACCACAACTAACCAAAAACACACCGCCCACTTGGTCTGTCTCTCTGATAAATCATCCGTAGTAAGATGATATGATGTGGCATAAACTTCCATCCTCTTCTCTCGGCCGAAGCGGGCGGGGTGGAAAACACGAGAAACAACAAGACAAGAGGAAAAACTCATAGTGTCCGATGACCTCCAAATGATCCTGGGACAGGGATCATCTGGCCTCCACTGTATCCGGCAATTCCTATCACCCATCCCGAGGGGTCGGTTTAGCGCACTTATAGCGTTACAGCACATTACAGCGGGATGCTGAAACTGTTCCAGCCATCAGGTCCGGAATTCCAGATCCGGCTCATCCGTGATGCATAGAGCAATTGGCCAATGGGATCTGATGATCTTCGCTCACCGAGATCTTGTGACCTGCTTGGCTGTGTCGTGTGCGGTGAGTATCACCTCGCATCTGGTCACCCTGAATAGAATGGGATAGGTCAAGACAGGTTACACGATAGTCAACGAAATGCAATCATGCTATGCTATGCTATCTTTCCTTCTCCCAATGCTATTATCTTACAACCCATGAGCTGATGAGCCTTCAACTAATCATGCATATGCAGTCAAGATTATCACCTGAGACAATCTCCTCAGCTTTGAAGGAACCTTTCCCTCAACCATCACGCCAGATCGACCCTCAACATCTATTACCGGCAACACACCGCTCGCATCCAATTCCCCCTTCTTGAGTTTTTGCTGCCTCTCTCCCTGGTCTTTCTTCCTAAAACACAAACTCCCCTGACCATGCCTAAATCACTCCTGGCAGTCCATATCACAACCCATTGCTAGGCGTGGGACCAAAAACCTATACATAATTCATAAATTCGTCACTCATTATTAGGATACTCCTGGCCTTCTACCAGGATCACCACTGTCAGTGTTGCCG